TCATATTTAGCTTGTGGTCTACTATAACCCCTAGATCCCTTTCTGCCATAAAGCTGCCAGGGTCCCTTTTCGACCAGGTGTTTCCAGCCGAAACCCGGACCCCTGGTCACCCTAGGTGTGACTGACGGCCTTTCCCCTGCAGAGCTGCTTAACGAGCAGCAAATTCCAGCCTGGCCCCAGGAGGAAATGCCAAGAGAGAGGGTGAGTGCAAGAAGGGTGTGGAGAGATGCATGTAAACGCCATAGTGTGCCTGTGCCAGCAGGGCCTCACCCCTCGCACAGCCCTGCCAGCTCCCCATTCCCAACCTGCAGAGGCCTGCGACGGAGCTAAACTTTGCCTTGCAGGGACCTGTCGGAGCATGAACAGGGGAAGCTGGGATGGAAATTTTAAAAAGCAGCTAATATCTGCTGAGTCAAGGGAGTGGAGAGAGGAGGAGGAGGAGCTGCTGCTCTGAGCACCTCCATCCCTGGCAGATTATCACAGGCAAGTGCAATGAGACACCAGTGAGGATTAGAAGAGTTGAAATCTGACCCACAATGTCTTAAAGGGAAAGGGACCTGTTTGTTCAGCTAAGACTGGAAAGCTGACGATTATTTTCTGGCAGCTGGCAGACAGACAGACCTGCAGTAGCTCTCACGTGAGACCGTGAGCAAGTGCACCAGGGGCTGAGCACAGGCCTGGGAGATCTAATCCCAGCTCCAGCACCCGTTTGCTGTGGGACCCGGTTGGGTAAAGTCATTTCATTAGTTGTATCATGGCAGTCCCTAGACCGCACTGTGCATAAGAGACAGTTTTTACACAAGCGGACAATCAAAGCAAACAAAGGGTGGGAGGGGGAAAACCAGAGCCACAGGCAGGGGAAGTGACTTGCCCAGAATTGCACAGCAGGTAATTGGCAGAGCTGGGAACAGAGCCCAGATCACCGGGCTCCAGGTGCAGTTCCTCATCGGCCAGGCTGTACTGCCCCTCCCGGCCCGGCTGTACTGCCCCTCCCGGCCCACCATCTTCTGGAAGAGGAACAAGTGTCTGAATCCTGCATGCGACCCCCCAGCCTGCCCATGAGCTCCACTGAGAGGAGTTTTCTGTTGATGAAAACAGCTAAAATCAAATTAACGCTATTTAGTGCCAAGTGATGGGGAATTTCAGGACTCCTGGAGGTGGGTGCGAATCACGCTCCAAGTACAGGGATGTTACTTGCAGCCCTCTGGCAGCCAGACCTCAGGTGGGGTGGGCAACTGTTTGAAACAGTGGGAACACTCCTGCAGTTTAGACTGGAAGCTCTTTGCGTCAGGGATCATCACCAGGCGCATTTCTCTGTCCTGGCATTCTCCCATATAAACACGTTGCAATGGGTGTATTTACCACCAAAAAAACCTCTACCAAAACAGGACACTCCACTGCACACGCTTCTTCCTTTGTGGAGAAGACAAGAGAACAAACACGTGACAGATGCGTAGTCACATAACTTACTGCACTGCTGGTAGGTGCTCAGATACTACGGTGGTGGGCACCTTTATAGAATAAAACAGGGACAGCACCTGGCTGGCTGATGGCTCTGTAGAGAGTTTTATATGGACTACCATGAGGCTACAGGGCGCAGTGCTGCTGGAGGTAGCTACTTGCGTGTGAGGCAAGAAACAGAGGCTCTGACCACCAGGGGTCATAAAGGATTGAGCAAGGCTTAAAAGTAGGGGGCACTGGTTCTGGCTGAACGATCTATAGCAGAGGTCCTCAAACTGTGGGGAGCGGAGGAACGTTTGGGGGGGGGGTGCGGTGGGTCCCGGGCCAGCCCCCACCAGTGGCAGGAAGGGAGCCCCACCCAGCCTGACACTGCTCCCAGCTCTGCTCCGGCCCTGCTCCCAGCCCTAACCGTGATCTGACTGCGGCTCTGGTCCCGATCCCAGACCCGCCCCCAGCTGCGGCCTCCTTATCCCTATCCACGGCTCCGCTCCCGCCCCGGCTCCAGGGGGCCATAACCCTGAAAAGTTCAGGCACCACAGATCTATCGCAAAGCAGGGTTATGTTCTGCCTCCCTGGCTGGCCTCCTCACATTAACTGGCGGAAACCCGGTGCTCTCTGCTCACTGGCGTGCAGCCCCTGCTGGTATCGATGTGACACCCACGCTGCAGGGCTGAGATGACGTTAATCCCAGTTTATGCATAAATTGCAGGGCTGTAAAACGCTTCAAGGCTCACAAAAGGCGCATGGGCTGCTCCTAAAGCAGCTAATTCAATTACACAGTAGCACTGATTCTCCGCTTGCCTTTCCAGTCCTCCCAGCGACCACCAGCCCACCCAGCTCCCCCTCCCCTGAGACCAAGTGCCACGACACCCTGTCAGAGCATGGAGACAGCTGGGGGAAGAGGGGTAAATGACAGGAAAGTGGCTCTTTAAGACTGAGCTTTGATCAGTTTAATTACCTCTTTGGGGTAGAAAATAATAATTAAATCTCGACGAGCGGCTTGCCTTTAACAAGCGCTTTCCTAGCTGGTTCACACATTGTTGGCTATTGAAATGCTTTGTTTAAACTCCCTCACAGTGAGTTCTGGCTCCCCTTTGTCAGTTCCTGGGTGATGGGCCCTCAGCACAGGTTTAAGAGTCACATGCAGGGGGGTTCCAGGAAAGAGCACAGAGCCAGCTGAGCCTCCAACCATTTCTCTCCTGGACTGTAGGCCAAGGACATCAGTCAACCTGTCCCTGCCCAGCCCGCCCAGTGCAAATCAGTCTCTCTCCTCCTGCACTTTAACCCTTCTGGGATCTGAACTCCATATATCACAGGCCTCACTCCAAAGTTGGTGCTGAAGAGCAGAGGTACCAATGGGCCCCCTAAACTCTCCTTGAAGAGGTCCTAGGCCTGATCAGGTTCTGGGGAGAAGGAAGGAAGGAAGGAAGGAATCTCTCCCTCTGCCCCAAGTCACCCACCAGATTCCTCACCCTGATGCTTATAGATATAGATATACCTATCTCATAGAACTGGAAGGGACCCTGAAAAGTCATCAAGTCCAGCCCCCTGCCTTCACTAGCAGGACCAAGTACTGATTTTTGCCCCAGATCCCTAAGTAGCCCTCTCAAGGATTGAACTCACAACCCTGAGTTCAGCAGGCTAATGCTCAAACCACTTAACAGGGCCATTCAGTATCTGGACCTCACAGGGTTGGTTTTTTTTTTTTTTTTTTTTTATTTTTTAAACATCCTCACAGTCTGGAGTCCAGACAATGTCAGGCCAACTAGTCCTGCTTTCTCCTCCGACTCTCACCCCGCCCACAGCTCCTGAGGGCACCTTCCAAGGGAAAGATGGTTGGTCTGGACAATGAAGTGCAGAACTCCATGTGGTTCAGCTCCTGTCTGAGCATAGAATGCTCCCGGACCTAGTTCTGGCATCACCTAGGGCAGCGGCAGCTGGCTTAAAAGAAAAGCTGGTCTAGTTTGCAGATGCCTTAAGATGTGCTCAGTACACCACAAGGTCCTAGTGATTGTGGGGCTCTGGCAACAATGGGGTAGATGCCCCACTTGTGCCCTGGCCTTTCATCCCTACCCTCTGGATCTCACTGGTTGCCACCCAGATTTGGACCTTTGACTGTGTCCAACTTCAGATCAAAAGTGCTGAGTGAAAAGGTGGGCGTCTCACGGTCACCCCTGCAAACTCAGTCTGGGATCCAAGAGCCACGCTGGGTCCTTTCTGGCACGAAAAGCACGTGAGATTCTGCCATCTGAAGCCATTCAGGCTCGGCAGGAATCCAGCTTGCTCTCCCAAAGCAGTGTGAACTCTGCAGAGCGGACAGGAATGAAAGTAGTAACATCCCAGCCACCTTATTGTAGCCAATGGAGTCAGCAGAGGTGGCTCGTAATACCCAGTGGCAGACCAGAGGAGTAAGAAGGGGCCCCTATCAGTGTCACTGTTTAGACCAGGCTCTCCCGTAAAGTGTATTTCCATTAAGGAGGCTGTCAGAGATCCTACTAAATCCTGAGCCACAAGAGCCACCCCCTCCAACTCCGAATCAAGTGAGAAAACGGCCATTTTATCCAAAGCAACAGCACGCGCAAGCTGCTATCACAGGGCAACCAGAAGAATCCAGGAACAGGCCGGCCAGCCTTGGATGCCGAAGTGACCGTTTTGGAAGGAGCTCATTCCCTTTAGGAACAGTTTTGGTTATGAAGGTGTTTTCTCAAGGTCATTGGGGACATCCGCATGAAGATACCAGGTTTAACTTGTGCCAGATCTGCCGACTTACCCGATCTCTCCCCCACGCCCCTTTTCATCTTCTGTTCGCATCGCAGACCCAATGCAGCTACGGGGGAGAGTGATCGATTCTGTCTGGACTCATGGATCAACCCCCTCCTGTCCAACAACCAAAAACATCCCACCACCCTCCCTCAAGCAAAGTTTTACCCCAGAAGAGAGGAACCCGAGACTCCAGAGAGCCCACTAGGGACTCGATTTTACACGGAGGATGCTCAGATACTGCAGTGTTGGGCAGCCATATGGAATGACCCAGTAAGTTCAAATTCTTACACCACTGGGGCTGCACGCCTGCACCAACAGACTGAACACAGACATGGCCGGCAGGGTCTTTATTAGCATGAGGAAGGAAGCCCCCAGCTTGACTCAGCTCTCAGGATTACTTATTTAGATTGCAATATCACCCAGGAGGGCCAGTCGTGGCCCAGAACCTCATTGCGCTGAGCGCTGAACGCACACACAAAGATACACGCGCACGACGGCCATTTAGCAAACACAAAGTGTTTTACTTTTAAGCAGAGCCCGTTTGACACGGAAGCAGCAGAGACACAAAGAAGCCTGGAACCCCCACAATGGCATTTCCTAAGAGGCTCGCATCTCAGGGCCAGACGGCACTTGGGGAGGGAACAATTCTGATCTTGCATGTATTGCTAGTAACACCACAACATTCACAGCTTCCCGGGGACAGGGGATGGGGAAGGAGGAGACCAAGACGCACAAGGTCCAATCTCTCGGTAGGAGGCCGCAAGCCCCGCACTTACCATTGTTGCAGTGACGCACGCAGTCCTGGAACACCGCTCGCCACTTGTCCTGCTCCTTCCCGGTCATCACGCAGAAGTAGTAGTGACGAGAGTACGGGTGCCAAAGGATGAGAGGAAACTGGGTGGGGCACTTGAGGATCGGGGCATTGCCGGATTTGGGGGCTGTCCCTGATGAAAGAAGAAAGATTCCAGCACACACCTGTGACTCGAGGGAACACTGCTTGGAACTGGCCAGGCAGGAGGCCCACATTCTGGATCCAAATGCAAGGTGTGGGTGAAAGGTGTCAGGTTGAGTACCACGGAGATGGATGCCTCAACAGCCTGACCACAGAGTGGCTTCCTGCACTGCCCCGCTAAGGGGGCTCAACCCAGACCCGTCATATGGGACCTCAGGGGAGGCCAGTCTCCAGGGGCCATTCAGTGCGCTGCGGAGACTGCCGGTAAGGGGCCAGTTAGCTCTAAGTGGGTGCTGCTACTGGACCAGACTCTCTCTCAGTCTCACAAAGCCCTGCCCATACCATACTGCATTTTAATCCAAGGGGGAATATTTCCTCTCATCTCGTTACTTCCAGCCTCCACTTTCACCGTTTGGTTGCATCCCCATTCTGGGTCTTTGTGTGGCATCAGCCGGGAGAAGCCCCAGCCATCAACGGGGATGTTCGTGTTCCCGGGGCTGGCACGGGAGTCACACCTAGTCAAGGGCATGGCAACGAGGCCTCCATCTAGATCTGCCTGCAGCACAGCTCCACCGGAGCTTTGATGAATCAGGGTCAGTGGCATTCCTAAATCAGCTGCCCCAAACTAAGATTGAGTGAGGGGGGATTTGATAGTAGCCTTCAATTACCTGTGGTGGCAGATGACAGAACAAGGAGCAATGGTCTCAAGTTGCAGTGGGGGAGGTCTAGGCTGGATATTAGGAAACACTATTTCACTAGGAGGGTGGTGAAGCACTGGAATGGGTTACCTAGGGAGGTGGTGGAATCCCCAACCTGAGAAGTTGTTAAGGCCCAGCTTGACAAAGCCCTGGCTGGGATGATTTAGTTGGTGTTGGTCCTGCTTTGAGCAGGGGGTTGGACTAGATACCTCCTGAGGTCTCTTCCAACCCTAATATTCTATGATTCTAAGATATGTACTTGCCCCAGTTTCCATGTGCTCCAGAACTAGCTCTGGAGACATCCCAAACCATCCCCCACCTCCCTTTTGCCTGAAATCGAGGTGGTGATCCAGACTACCCTTCCTGTTCTCAAGGAGCATCACAGCAACGTGGTCGCCCACTGGAAAAGCAGTAGGGAGTGGACAGGCCAAAACCGAGGGGGCAGCTCCACTGCAAACCATGAGTGGAGTGGCCAAAAGGAACAGCCGCAGGGAGCTTGAAAGAGCAGCTGAAGGGCCCTTGGCATGTGCCACTGGATGACAGATCACATGAAGACTTGTTTTAGCTGCCGCGGAGGGATGGGTGATGGGCAGCTGTGCTCCCACCTGGAATCACCAGATTTTGTTAAGGACGAGAGTCCCGGAGGAGAAGGAAGCAGTAGGGGAAGCACCCACATCTGGCAGAAAGAAAACCAACCAACTAGAAGCAGATTTCCTGCTGTGGCGTTTAAGAGTCCCTTCGACAAGGTCAAACCCGTGGGGGTAAGCGCTTGCCTGACAGCGCACAGAGGACGGGAGGGTCTCAGCCCGTGGGCTGGGAGCACGTCTGCACGGTCTCCGTAACGCAGCATTTAGATGCAACCTGCGAACACTTTTCACAGCAAGGGCAATACAGCCCAGGGGCCTGGCCCCATAACCACCAGCTCCTCCACCTGTTTTAGGGACATAGGTTCTATCCGCATGGGGTTGACCACTGGCCCGAATCCAGCGCCCCCAACCAAACCCGGATACCCCTTTAGGAGGGAAGCAGAACCCTGCCATAGCGCATTGCGCTCTGGGGTGAGGAGAAACTGCAGAGCCTTGCAATTTGGCAGGCTGCTCAAGGAGTTTTATGCCTTATACCATGGTACCCTCCAAATGGCTGTGTCTGTCCTGCCCTCTGTACCAACCACTGCCCACTCAGGAGGGCTCCCCTGCGGTCCTGGCTCATACGACTCAGAAGGAGGCTCTGTTATCCCATTGGGAACGTGCTATTCCTGGCCAGCTTCCTTCAGCCGGATGCCTTTTGAGACCCCCTGCTCCTGCTGGAATCTTCTCACCCTGTCCCACCCCCGGAGCTATTTTACGCACGGGCGGAAGGACACCTGAATCAGACTCTGTTTATTTACACACCGCTGTGCTGAGGCATTTTTCTGCAAGGCGCAGCTCAGTCTGCCCCCTGCAGCAGCAGCTCTGCTCTGAAGAGAGGTGTTCCCCCACCGAGCCCCTGGAGTGGGAAGGTAACGTGTTCTCGCCAAGACATGGGGACGGTTTCTACCAACTCCCAACCCCGCAAGCCTGCTCCTTGAAAACTAGGTCATCCCATGGGGTTTTAGAAATCACCAAAGGTTAACCTAGTTTTAAAAATCGGGGGGGGGGGGGGGGGGGGGGGAAATCCATGCACATAACCAGAACCAGGACTGCCCAGTGATGCTGCAAGGGGGTGGCTAGCAGGATGGCCCATCTGAGTCGACCGAAGCCAGCTCGTTTCGAGATCGTAGGGGACGAACTCGCAGTGATCAGATATTCAGCATTGCTCAGTTCCCAACCTGCACCTAAGCGCTTTAGAAAACCTGGCACTGAGCCCTTGAAAACGAGCCCTCTTTCCACCTCCAACCCCCCCCCCCTTATCCCCCCCCCCCCCCCCAGCCCCCTCACCGCTCTCCAAACAAGAGGATGGGAGGAGGAGACTTGGCTAGAGGTTTCTCATTTGCTAAGTGAAACGGTTTCAGAGAAATCAAGTGGCCAGCTCTGGAGAGCAGAGGCTCCCTTCCTGGAAGGGAGCAGAGACAGCACAACAAGGGCCCTGGGGAAACAATCCAAACTGCATTCTCAAGGAGCTGAGCCAGGGAGGGTGAGAAGGCATTTGTGTGGGAGGGAGCCTATGCCACACAAAGGAGTGTTCATGTCTTCATGGTACAGCAAGGGACACCGGATGTTTTCACTCCTCCCTACCTATACTTTGTCTCCCCCCTACTTCCTTTGGAGCCACCTCTCTGGCTCCTCTATTCCTCCCTGTGAAGAACACTGAAGCCAGGAGCAAAAAAGGGGACCAAGATCACACGTATCCATGTCCGCCTCCAGCTCCTGTCCTATAGATGTTGGAAAGCATTCTGGGATAGCAGGAGAAGGGAAACACACACACGTAAGCCAGCCTGGAATAATAGAGGGGCCGACGTACATCACCTGTTCTAGTCCTCCGTTATCCCACCCTCCCCCTTGCACCTGAACATGCAGAGCACCTGGGAGATGAGGTCATCAACAGGGTGGACTTACCTGGTAAACTGCTATTGACAAGGTCAAGATACTGGTCCAGCGAGGTGAGGATTTTGTAGCCGGCGCTGTTGAGGACTATTCGAGGCTGAATCCCTCTGTCATAGGCCTAGAGAGGAAGGAGAGTCAGTCTGTGGGAGCGGTTCCCAAAGCTGCTTAATCCAGGATCCATAACAAGCTCATGTCTCTGAAACCCTGTAAGGCAAGACCTGTGCCTTGCTCCTTGCCCTCGTTTTTGACAGGGGTTAATACGCTAAGGCTTGCCCAGACTGATCTTCTAGCGTCTGATTCTTGTGACATGGCTGCGTGTGCGTGGGGAACCTACCGTGGATGTGGGATACTCACTGGTGTGAAAGGTAACCAGGTCAGCAGATGCCTGCAGCCTTGCCGGAGGATTGTGATGGGGGAAAGGAAGTGGTTGTCTTTTGATACGTCTCCCACAGAAGTGCAATAAGAGAGACTGCTCCCTGCAGGGGATGTCCCATGCTGGAGATCAGTGGGCTCCAGGGCATTCTACTGCATCAGGGGAACACGACATCTCAAGCTCAGCCGTCCCCATTGGCGAGGGAGTGTCCCAGTGCTCAGGACTGCTCTTCAACGGGTGCAGCAGCCAAGGGAAGCCAAGAAGTTGTTCAAAGCTTTCCTTTAGTTCCCCAGCTCTGTGACTCCCGCCTGGTTACTTAAGTCCATTTCTCAACTGGAGACACCGGACGTGCTCATGGAGGCCGTACTTTGAAGCACTAAGTGCACTGAGAGCACTGGCTAAGTGTCATTCACGTGCAAGAGCTGTTTGAACAGCGATTGCTGACGGCTCCTCGACAGGAGGAGAGCTCCTCTAAGGGGTACATTCCCTGGCAGGCACTACCTGTGCTGAACAGGCCTCCTGGACAAAAACACCCAGCACAAAGCAGAGACGGAAGGGGAGGGGGTGGAGAAGCAGCGAGGGCCTCACCAGTTTGTTCTCGTACAGCACCAGGCCGTAGTTGTGCGGCACAACGCTGAAGCGGTTTCGCCACTTCTTGTTTTCCTCCACGTATTGGAAGAGGTTCCCTGAGATGATGACGCGGTCCTCCAGAGGGACCTGCACAGAAGGGGAGACACAGTACAGTGAGCGGAGGAGGAAGGAGAATTGATGGTACGTTAGAGAAACCAAATTCAGGGGAGCCAAACCACATATGCCAGCTGGGGATCTGGCCTCTGGCCCCTATGCCAAAAAATGCTTAGCTCTTATACTGCATGGCATTTTCGACTTATAGCTCAAGAGTTAGGGAAGCGTGATCCTCATTTTTTAGAGACAGGGTGGAGGCAGAGAGGCAAAGTGACTTGCCCAAGGTTACACAGCAGGTCAATGGCAGAGTTAGGATTAGAACCCAGGCCTCTTGATTCTCAGTCTGGAGAAATACCCCAAAGCCTAGAGCTGGAAGAGTCCAGTGGGTGCGAACGAACACCTCATACATCACACTTGCCTTCAGAATCTTCATGCTCGTTACATTCCCCCTCCCGCTCCAGAAAAGCGCATCATTCAACTTACTGATCTGTATCACAGTAGCGCCTAGACCCCAATACAGATCACATATTATGGTGCAAGGCACTACACATAGCGAGAAACTCTCCCTATGTGACCCACGACCCCCTTAATGCCAACTGGCAAGGACATGACAAGAATATGCTGATTCGGGTCCAAACATTCTGGTTCACCAAAGAATGTCATGTGAGGTTTTCAAGGAAAGCCAGGGTCACACTGCTCATTGATTTCATTGTAAAATGTATATAGAGATACTATATAAGGACTTATGTGTATATACTGAAAAGATGTTCTTAGATTCTTATCACAGCAGAAGTGGAGAAACCGGTTTTCTGTCTGACACGAGAGGTTTATTCACTTGTCTCTCTGTCAGATGTAAATTACACATTGTAAACTAGGACAGTGGATGCCCATTTATATATGAAGTTATTGAAGTCAACAAGGAAGCAGCACAGAGGCAAAACAAGCCCCGGGGTGTTCTCCTGTCTCTGAGCACAGACTATGAGCTTTGGGGATATAAGTAGATGGCAAAGATGACACCCCTCATCCTACCCCTAGGAAGTAAACGGGCAGTGCATTTTCATTCATGAAAACAGGATCTCAGCCAGCTTGGTTAAAGATGCTGCAGCAAGCGCAGGGTGAGATAAGCTTCTTTAGACAAGAGAGTAACTTGTGAGTTAAGTTTAGTCTCTAGAAAGCACATTACTGATTTTGTTTTATAAGTAACCCTTTGTTTCCAACTCATTATCTCCTGACTCTTTAGTCTCTGATAATAAACCTGTGGCTTTCACTATCAATATATCTCAGTGCTGTGATATTAACCAAGGTGCTGGATCCTGAGTTGACTCACACAAGCTAGTGTGTACATTGTTCTTTTGGGGACTGCAGACCTGGCATTTGTGAGAGCGTTGGGTGGATAAGGGGCTGAACACCGCAGGGGAACGCTTCAAAGGGTCTCGGGGACCGAGGCGCACCTATTGCTAAGCTGCAAAGCAAAGTGAGGGCTGGCAGAGCCCAGATGAGTGTGCTTGCACGACTAATAGGCTAGTGGTATCAGGGAGCTGACACCCAGCAAAGCACAAGCAAGACGCCCTTTTGCTGGAGGCAGGGGGTAACAAGGGGACTCACAAGCCTGGGTACCCCGAAACAGTCACACCCTACCCAGAAGGATTTATAATCTAACTGCGTAAGGCATAGCATCGGAGGCCAACAGATTAGGTTAGTGGCCTACGGTCACACAGCAGGTCAGTGGTGGGAATAGGAGTCAGGTCATCCTTGTCCGTACAAAGACCCATCCATTGGACTAGGCGGCCTTCAACTTTCTAAGCTTTTTGCCCTGAAAGCTCCTGTGTGTTAGAACTTGTTATGTGATCCCAAACACAGGCTTGCCTAACGGTCTGAGAGAATTCACGTCTCAAGGGAATTTTTATGACCCATGGAATATAAACAAGAGCAAAAAGCACTTCTTGCGGAGAGTCTCTTCCTCTCTCAGTCTTGTAGCCAAGTTCTCAGCAATGAAAGTCAGCAAAAAGGATCAGTATTTATGAGATATTAGACAGGCGTAAGTGACCTAAATCCATAGACTCTGCCTCCCCCCAGCAATATTTCAGATGGGAAGCTGAGGCACAAAGACTAAGGATATGTTTTCACTGCAGAGTTAACTCAGGCTCCTGCCACACACAAAACCCTCTCAGCTGAGTTTAGTGGTGCTTTTAAGCAGGGTAGCTGGGAGTGTGGGTTAGAGCCCAGGTTCCACTTTCACTCTGGCTGGCAGCGACGCAGCCACTTTGCAGTGAGGACTCAGGCTAAGCCATTTGAATGCTGATAATCCACCAATGCCGTCCCACAATGCCCCTCCTTGTGTCTGGAAGGACAGACAAGTCCTCCCACAATTCACTGGGAAAGACTCATACAGCAGGCCCAGCTGACTGGGGCACAAAGCACCATGGGATATACCTCCAGCAGTCCTAGTGACACATGGGGAAGCATAGCACCAGTGAGGCTGCAGTCACTGATATGGCTTTGCAGGGGGGTTGCTCACACCTAAACTAGGCTAACTCAGTTGCTGATCACCTGGGTTAACGGGATCACCGTTAGGGTATGTCTACACTGCACTGTAAGCCCAGGGTTAGAACTCAAGTTAGCAGATCATGGGTTTGTTAACCTAGGGCTTGAGCATCTACGCTCATTTGTAACCCCAGGTTAGGAAGTGTTGAACCCTGGGTCCCAACCTGGGGCTCCAGCATCTACACTGTATTATGCAGGCCCAAGTCCAATCACCCTTATCCCAGACTTCCTTGCATCCTCCAAAAAACGTGGCAGCCCTAGCCCTTTGTTCGTGGTGCAACATGGGAAAACTTGACTGTCCAGAGGACAAAAAGTTGGTCCATGGGATACTTTTGGCAGACTCCCAGATCATGAGTCCAGGGGGGCTGTACTTACACTGCAAAGCAATAGGGTTTGAATCCTGGGTCCCAGCTTGACTAAGGCTTGGACCCCCACACAGTCCTAGGACCCTGAGTTAAAGCAATGTGTTACACTTGAGCCTCAGTTCAAACCCTGGATTTACACTGCAGTGTAGACATAACCTCAGTGACTTGTCCAAAGCCTGTGGCAGAGCAGGGAATTGAACCAGGATCTTCAGAGTCCCAAACTAGCTCTCTAACCACTGGACCACCATTCAGAAGCAGAACAGGTTAAAAAGTAACACCAACTTGAATGCTACTGCTGCTCACAATCTTTTTCTCTCCCCAGCTTTTTAATATATTCACTAAGGTTTTTTTTAAAACAACTTTCTTGTAGGTGTGTCACATGTCAGTGGGAACAAACAACAGGGTAAACTGAGTGGCAAAATATATAGGGCAAAAACAGATCAGCATTCACCAAGACAGACAGAAGTTTTCCTCCAACTCTTTCAGTTCTAGTAATCTGGGTGCTGCCTGTATCAATACTAGGTATGAAATGTCAGATAAAAGGGTAATTGTTAACTTGACAGTGTCCCTTAAAGAGACTTGCCTCTGGTCACACAGCTAGACCAAGGCAGAGCCATAAAAAGAACCCAGGAGTCCTGTTTCCCCCTCCCCTGCTCTATCCATGAGATTGCTTCAGTGATCAACATTCCCTCTAGGGTCATTATCCAGGGTTTTATAGCAACAGTAAATAGACTGGCTAATTCAATAAAAAAAAAAAAAAAAAAAAAGCATCATGCAGTTGCACTTTTCTTCCAAGAACCTTGGAAAAGTAGAAGTAGAAAATACAGTTAAGGAGGTGATGAATTCAAGGAGGTGGGTAGTGAGAGCCAGTAAAAAAAGGAAGCTAGTCATAAGGCAAACAAGTGGGGTTTTTGACAGTAACAAGGATTAAAAGCCCAAGGGGGGAGAGAAGCGCATGGAAACGCAAGGCCTGGTACATAGACTATGGAATAGGACGTTCAGCGAGAACACTCCACTGCATACACCCTCCGAACAAGATCCCTCACACCCCCAGGCAGGTATTGGGAGAAGCAGCAAGTAGGTGGCGCCTCAGTAGTCAGGAGTGAGTCAGTTTCTCTAGCAGGGTGGCTTGTCACCGTCTGTGCTCAGAGCACCGCCCCATAGCCAGAGCCGCAAAGCCCCTCTGAGGTCAGCCTTACACTCACGGGGTGTGGCGTGAATGCGATGCACATGGGTGGTGGCTCTTTAAAACCCAAGTGTTTATTTACAGCAGATGCCCCGTGCAGGCTGAGGCCAGACCCAGCTGGATACAATGTTCAGACAAATCCTTTGGTGCGGAGGTTGATGTACCAGATCCCCTGTAGAAAGGAGCTGGGTTTCAGTGCTGGCCACCGAGAGCCACTTTCTGGCCTACATTCCACCAGATGTGGCCAGCCCTGCCCTTCCCTCCCCATAGAGTGATCCAATACCCACCGCCATTCAGAGACGCACCGGGAGATAGGGGTCTCGTTGGGACCAAGCAGAAGCCAAGGAGTGGGGAGGAGGGGGCCATGGGCCATGGCTTCTATTGCGACCCCATAATTCTGGACACCCGCTTTTAAAGTAGTCACAGCCCATTTAACATCACTGGTCCCCCTGGGATTATAGTAGGAGACCACTAACAGCAGCCCCTGGCACAGGACATGAGTCACCGTTATAGCCAGTCAGTGTCCATAGACTCCAGTGGCTACTGGTCACAGGGACACAGAACCCGGTCCACTATGCCCAAGCACGAGACAGCACCTCATTTCGGAGCAAAAAAGCAAACCCACCACCTCCAGTGGTGACCTGCTATTGATTCCTGCAAGTCTTCGACCAAAAAAATGCCACCAAGTCATGCAAAGCCAGAGGTGTGCCCTGTGCTAGAAGATGACCGAGGGCTCGTCTACACAGGGACACTGGACCAGAATAGCTAGTGTGGAGCGGATTACTCCGGAATAGCTACTCCAGTCTCCCTAAACGTGTCGTGAGCCACAGTAGCCACCCACATCAGGGCAAGCTCACTCTCCTGGTAGCCTGGAGTGGGGCCAGCAACAGGAGGTTGGAATGCCCAGATTTCCTGGGACCCCCAATTCTACTCTCTCC